ACCATGGAGGGGGAAATTTTTTCTAGTGCTCTACGAGATTGTTAATAACTTTGTAATAATTAAATATTTTTTAATAAAAATTTAGCGTAATCATCTTTAATGTAGCCTTAATAAAATTAAAAAAATCCGATCCCCAAATTCCTTTATTTTCCCTGTCAAAAAAATTCCCGAAAATCACCTCTTTTTTTCGATCGTCACAGTGGTGTTCCCCCTTAAGCTAAAGTTTTTTTAGTCATTATCCGTGAATCTCGGTAGTCACATAGTGACTGCAGGTTGCTAGTTGTTATTATTTGAAATTATTAATATATTATATTAAGTATACACTTACGCAAAAATACTGAGAAGAACAGAAGTAACAAAAACTTGTTCATTTTAAGCTTCGCAATCGATTAACACGATATGAAGTTTTATTATTGGTACTGATCGTTTTCATTTAACTTTCATGCTTATATAGGTAATTCATGTTTAACCGACATTGATTTGGTTGTTTATTCAATGATAACTATGTAGAGTGAAAAAAATTTACTGTTTTTGATTCTTGTAGTCAATTATCAGGTCAATTATTCTGATATTTGGTAACTTGAATTTATCTTTACAAACAATTACCTTCATGGTCATTTTTTTAATAAATTAACTTTACTCATATATTTCTTCATTGTTAGTAAAAAATTAAATTTTTTGTTATATAACAATAACAGTAAAATTCATTCTTAATTTAATTAATTTTTTTCTTCCGTAGGAAGAATATGTTTTTTGTAAAGAAAAACTAAAAAATTTTGTTGTTTTAGAATGATAAAAAAACTGTTCAATATTAGGTATCATGAGTAAATGTTAGAGATTTCCCTGATAGCTACAGTTTCAGACCAACCAAGTTGGTGTCAGATAGTTGCCACCAACTTACCGACAACTTGCAGTCAACTTCCGAATTTGAAACTGTTGGCGTCAAGTTGGCTACAAGTTTCTGAAAAAAACAAGACCAATCTACTGCCGCAATATGTCGCCAAATTTCTCGAGAAACTTGTCGTCAACTTGGTGCGAAAGAGTTTCGAAAGCAATTTCTGCCGACAACTTGGTGAACAACCGAGTTCATTTCCAAGACTTGCCGCCCAAGTTGCTGCAGCAAATCAACGGAAAGTTGCGACCGGTTTGGCTATCAGGGTTTATAAAAAATTTTTTTTCTTACAAAAAAGAAGATCGCAATCTTATTGAGAACCGGTTAGAATGTTAACTCTAATATTATTCTTACCATCATACGCTTAATACAATCTTACCGTGATTAGCTCATCTCGACAAAATGGTTTCCATCAGTAGCTGCAGTCAATTTGACGTTAACTTACCGGCAAGTTAATTTTTTTTTTTAATTTGAATCTTCGCTCGCTTTAGAAAAATCTTGGCTCGCTTCAGAGACATTCTATTTATGAAAATTAAATTAGCCGACATCTGAAAATTTTTAGAATTTTTTTGTTAAAGAAATTTTACATATAAAAAATTTGGAAAATTATACGTAAAATTTTTTTTAAATATTTTTTTACTTTTAATTCATTTGATGAAAAATATCAACAATTGTTAAACATCTACTAATTTTAGTGTAATTTTTATAAACTTTTTTAAAAGTATCAAGCATCAAAATATGTCACCGGCTAACTCTGAAGTAATTCTTTTATTAATAATTTTACGAATTATAATTTAAATTAATAATTGTTCTAGTAAAAGAAAAAAATTTTTTTTTAGTAATTAACTATTAATAATAAATAAACAAAATATAAGATAGCGCTTATGTGGGAATTTCAATGCTGACTCTTAGTAATGTAAGTAAATAATTTTTTTTTATGAGTACTTATCTTCAATTAAGGTAGTTGTCATGGTACAATATTGTCAAAAAATTAGAGATTATACGCGCCGCGAAAGTATATATGAGCTTGTAGCTAAGTAATCCATAATTTTTACGCAAGACTATACCCGTGGAAACGCAACCCATACAATTGTTTCTGTCCGACTCCGTAGATATATACTTTTTCATAAATTGTTGAACTTTAATCCGTTATTTATAAATAATTAGCGGTCAAAAATTTTTTTATTTTTTTCTAAATTCACAACATATACATTAAAAGACTGTCAGTTTTTTAAAAGTTTCTGATAGTTTTTTTATTTTTAATTTATTAAAGATATTTATTGACATATTTAAATTTGTATGTACATCAGTTCTTGCAATTGCATAATTGTAAGTGCTATTCTCATTAAATGTATAATAATACGTTTACAATTCCTCGCGAGTTTTAAATAAACATAAGCTATGCCTTTTTTTTTTCTTTTTATAACTAAGAAACTGGTACAGGAACTGCAGAGAGCGTATGCAATCAATGTTAAATATCCAATTTTTAAGTGAATTCATCTCAGGTTATAGATGGTCAATCGACTTCAAATTTTTAGGGTAGTTGTATCATCATGTCTTTAATAAGTATTAACCACGACAACTACCTTAAGCCACAAAAATTATTTTTATTGTAATTGAAAATTATTACATCAATATTTTTCATTAAATTTTTTTAGCAACAAATAAACTTTCAGACTCCAGTTGATATAAAATCCTGTCATCTGTGGCAGTGGACCTGGATGTCGGAGATGGAGCATAATGATGAGTGACTTGTGAATAATATTTTTAAT